ATATGTATATGTATATGTATATGCATATGTATATGCATGTATATATATGTATATACATATTTTATGTACGTATTATACCAATATATGTACATATGTTTTAGTACATATGTATATATGTATATACGTATGTATGTATATTGGCATAGCCCCCTGAATAGTAAATACCTGATCTGTTTTTTATCAGGGCTATGATATAAAAACCCTAAAATATGTTTATATCCTTAAAACCCTCAAACCCTAGAATCGCAAGTAAAAGCGTTAGAAATAGCGATAGCGTCAAGTCTAGTGGTCGCAGGCGCGAGCGTCAGACTTAAGACGAGTCGCGGGTGAGAGCGTCAAACTTAGGATGAGTCGCAGGGAGAGCGGCAGGTTTAGCGGTCGCAGGCGAGAGCCTCAGACTTAGTGGTCGCTGGCGAGAAGACCCGGTCGCAGTCGTAGGTGTCTCAGTAGGAAGTATACTTGGGATGTTCATTTTGACTTTTTTTTTTAATCAGTGGAGGCTCTGCAGTTGTAGTGGTTTTATTGAGAATATGATTGTTTTTCCAATTCACCCCCATTTTTACTCTGATTGTTCTTCGGCTGATAAATAAATTTGTACTCTCAGTCCCTCACGGAGTCTCATTATAAAAATGGAAGATATTTGGTTGTTTTTTAAATAAATATATCAATATGTTCATTGTTTTAAAAAAATAGAAAATCTATAATACTACACAAAAAGTTGTGTATGATAAGTTGATGACTATTTTTAGGGCTTATTAAAAAATAGAGAACTGACAGTCTGACAACTACATATGCTGACAAGTGACAAGTTGACAACGCACATTCACACTACGTTGCAGCGGCGTTAAAGCAGCAGCCTTCTTCTTCTTTTGCAGGCTAGCAGCAGAATGCAGACTCGACAGTCCACGCCTTTACGCCGTCCACGGTCCACGGTCTCACACACTGACTGTGACTCACCGACTATTTATTACAACAGTCTTACAGAGTGCCAGACTCAACTCACAGTACATAAATAACAGTCTCGACTCTTGCGCGCACAGCAGTACAGGGCCACAGACACAGCAGCACAGGCACAGCAGCACAGGCACTGATGCACTGAGGCACATCGCAGGTGCCGCACAGTCGCACACTGACGTCTAACGGTCTAATTTCGCCGATTGAAATACGCAGAACACTGATGGCTGAATTTTTACTGTGAACACTGTCACTGAACAGTGGATACAGTGAACTATTTGTGCATATTTACATTATTGTTTTTGTCAAAAGTGTGAAAAGAAGTCGATTTGACACTCTGGACTCTCTCTCCTCTACTAGTTTAGAGTAGACTCGCTGGGGAGACTAGAGTCCAGACTCTCTGGAGTCTCAAGTCTGGAGTCCTCTGGGCTCTATAACAGACTTCAATACGTGCTTCATATATGCTGAAAACGTAGTACAGGGGCGAGCACCCGGGGTTGTTTTAAGTATTAATATCGCTCAATTTTGCAACCGTTTTCCCGTTTTCAGGTAGTATATATTCTCAGTTACAGTCCTGATAGAGAAGCAAATTGTAAAAACCAATTTTGATCCACCTTAAATGGACCAATTAATAGCTGTTATGTTTTGACAGTAGAAAATCTGTCCAACTTTAAAAAAAACACAAAAAAAAAAACAAACAACTGTACAACCAAGAATTAGTAAAAAAATAGTTGGCGAGCTATATTTAGGGTTGAATAACTTTCAACTCTGATCATAAGGCTGAGAAACCGTGAGGAGGACTGAAAATATATAGTCATAGGGGTAATTTATTTGTTCATATATATGCCCGCATATTTTATAAAAAAACTGATGCTCTGGCTCTTCTTGTGGGGACTGGGGAGTGGGAAACTGGGAACACCGGACCAGGTCTCAGTGAGATTCAAGGGTTTAGGGGTATATTATTTCTAAAATTGGAGAATTAAATTGGAAAATTTTAGACAACACACAAGGGGGTCTACAAATCGGCAAATTGCTTATCGAGAAAAAAAACTCGGTGGTTTTTTTTAGATAAGTAGCAGGGTTATGACTCAGAGTCAGGAGTCGACTCAGGAGTGGTTGACTGGGTCGACCTGCTGAAAGCCTGCAATGCTGTGACTATGTCCCGACGAATCTTACTTGTGTTGTCAATGTTATGAGGCTGCCGATTGCCGAGTCAAGTGTCCGAGTGTCGACTTATGAGTCACAAGTCACAAGTCACAAGTCACAAGTCACAAGTCACAAGTCACAAGTCACAAGTCACGACTGCCTCTGAGGCTCTGAGTCTCTGAGTCTCCCGTGTACCCTCTAGGCCTCCCCTTACATACCCTATAACTATCCCCTGAGTTTTTAGAGTTTAGAGTTTAGTGTACAATTTAGGAGGCTATGGTTTACAGGTTTAGAGACTTTAGACTAGACTTTAGACTTTAGACTCTCTGCTCACTGCTTAGTCTGCTGGGGGGACTCAAACTGCTTACTGCTGGGCGCCTGGGCCTGGCAGGTTGGCACTCTGACAGTGCTGGGGGATTTAGCATATTTTTATAGTTTAATCTTTTTCATTTTCATTTTTTCTTAAATGATTGAAGGTTCATCATTCATGCCTCATGGTTCAGTATCAGATAAATTATAATCAGAGAGGGAGCCGGAAAACGTTCATTTCTTGGGAGGGGGTTTAAAAATATATATACCAAAAAACGTCATAATTTAAAAAAATTGTCACATTTGTAAATTTCAGTCCATTCAAAATTTCATTTTGTCAAACCTTTTAAAAAAAACAACTCAAATCTCAAGAATATATCGTATCTATAAATAGAAACAAGCTAAAAAACCTGTTTCTACGGTGCAACACAACTACAAAGGCGATCCTCCTTGACGATGGCTGATGATAATTGAAACTACTCTAGTAGATGACTAAGGTATCGAGAGTAAGTTGCATTTAATCACGTTTATAAATACTAAAAATTAAAAATGGGGGGCCTTTTTCGGCTTTTCATAAAATCTCAGGTTGCGAATATGTATTGTGTTTTGGGTGTTAAAAAAACAAGCAAATTATTTTATATTTTAAAATATTTTAAAAAAAGGTTGAAGGTTTTATATTTTGTTTGTTTTTAAAAATAGTTAAGAACACGTATCGATTCGCAGTCGTGAGATTGTGATTGGGACAATATAATTTAAAACATCATATGTATCGAATTCAATATTGTACTAAAAAGGTGTTTTATATATAAAATGAAAAATCCTCTACAATCTATTTATGAGACATATATTATAGCAGGGAGTAGACTGTAGAGAGTAGAGAGTAGAGACTCTCTCTCTCTCTCTACTCTCTCAGAGTAGGAGAGAGAGAGAGAGAAAGAGTGAGAGGGACCCTCTGTAAACCTTTTGTTTTTTTTAATATATAAATCTTGTCCTCTACGAGCGAGAGAGAGAAGAGTAGTTTCTGGTTTCCGAAACGCAGCTCCAGACTTTTCTGTTTGGGAGTGTCTCCATTCACCAATCAACGACGTAGAGACCAAAAAGTTATAAAAATAATGAATTTAAAAAAAATATTACTCTTGAATGACATGTTGCCCCCAGTCAAGAATTTACGTACTATATAGAGGCTACGATCGAGATATATCTGTTTGGACGAATAACAAATTAACATCAAGCTTTCACTGTCCAATCTATGTGCGTGAAAGATTTAAACCTAAAAATAAACGTAAAAGTATACGTAAGAGTATACAATGTATATATTTCGGTATTGGAGCTGAATAGAAGAATACTACAGATATCTACAGCAATAGTTGCTTTTGAGTTGGGAACTTGGGATGTAGGTGGTTTTCATTTATATTCCGAGAGTGTCGCAGAAACAAACCCTGACACATCTCAGCCCCAGGTAGGCAGGTACTCAGGCTCCCGCACACTGTCACCCAGGCATCCACCCATCAGAATGCAGTTTATAAATAGGCCACTATCTGCAGTCTTGCTGCTGCACCACCTCCGAGCCACCTCAACCGTCACAACTCACAAGTCGCATACTCGCTCATAAAATTAAAACAGAGTCCAAGACTCCCAAGTCCAAGTCCCAACTCCCAAGGACCCAAGCCCTAACTCCAAAGGTCCCAAATTAGTAAGGAATGAGAGTGTCAGTCGGTTAGAGCGCCGAGCGGCCGAGGGCCCGAGGCCCGAGCCCCCAGCGGCCGAGGTCCGAGCCCCCGAGGAAACTGAAGATAAATAAATACAAATACAAATTGCATTTTGCAATCGACGACGTTGTATTTTATTTTAAAATGTCTTAAAAAAATACAAAACTGGGAACAAGCTTGTGGTGTATACCGTATAATGTATAGTCTATCATTTATATAGAGAGGATACGTCTCTCCACTGTCTCCCGAGATTGGGACAATACAAAATGCCAGAGAAGTCGTTAATTATATTATACATAATTTTAATATCACTGGACATCCCTGTGGCAATATAGCTCAGTATTATACAGTTGTGAATTGAAGAACACCACGCAGCCGATATTAGTACACCTCGTGATGTTATTACAGCCTTATACACTAGTATTATAACATGAAATTAATAGATTAGACCGAATATCGTACTATACAGAACCTTTGTTGAACCTGTGTACGAATTTGCTGTGTGATGCCACCCGTTCCTCACGAGGGTCCCAACTTAAAGGGGCGTCAGCACAACAGTGATGGCGGATTGCAGAGACAGCAAGAGCCGCAATATACAAGCATACCAAAAGAATTTCTAACAAATGTCCCGTCAGTCATGCCCATTGGGCTTCCCATAAGCCAACAACAGACTAGCAGCCTATTTTTTCAGAGTCGCTCTAGTAGTCACGAACAGCTTGCAAGATCGGTGTCGCCTTTACCCATCAATTTTGGCTTGCCTGAGCATTCCAGTTCGTACAATTCACACCTCTCCAATTTGCAATCTGAAAATGTTGTGCAAGGTGCATTACAGCGTCGAAACGCTGACTTTGACATAAAACAACAACGAACAGGGGGTGGTAGTAATGACCAGTCAAGCACGTCGCTTACGGGCGAATCAACAATCGCGCCTCAATTGAATAGTGTGGTGAATCAAATAGACACCAAATCAAGCTTGTTTATGCAAACGAATCGTCCCGCGTATTATGACAACCAGCCAAATCAAATTCCCCAGCAAAGCCAGGCACAAAACCTATCCTCTCGCCTTTCGCCAGGCCTTCTCCCAAATGAAACCAATATTCAGTCGAGAGAAAATACTGACCAATCACGAACGCAAGGGCATGTAAATACACAAGCACAAGTACGAACGCAATCGCAAGCGCAAGCACAGTCACGCACCTATCAGCAACAAATATCCCACAATTCTATGTTTGATAGAGCCGATAGTGTAACGTCGGCGCCCATGGCCTATTCGAGTGAACAGCAACCATACCTTACAATACCATACTCTCAGGAGCGATACCAACAGAGTCCCCTACCGAGGCCCTTGCATGTTCCCTCATCACCCGTCTATAGTGACGAACTCACATCAGCCGTGAAAGCGGGCAATATCGACCGCGTCGCCAACTTAATACACACCGGTGCGAGTGTTGATGGAAAGGACACCAAAGGGTGGACAGCGATGCACTGGGCTGCCGCTACAGGTAATGTGGACTGTGTGGTCCTACTTTGTCGAGCCGGGGCCGATATTCAATCAAAATCTTATTCAAGTAAAACGGCCATGGACCTCGCTAAGTTGCGAGGGCATTACACCATCGTCGAGATACTCTCCGCCTGCGAGTATAGCAGCAAGCTTCAACAACCAAATCAAAAAGTCGAGTCACCCAGCGTGCCACAAAATTGGAATATAGACTTTAATGGCATAATTCATCCTGTGGATGGCATAGGCAATGAAAACACACTGCTGCACACTACGAGGAACGCATCAGTTCCTTCTAACTACAACCTGAATCATATGGATATGAGCGAGGGCTTAAATAGTAATGAAGGATTAGGAAGTCTAGGTGACGGTCTCGGTGGCGGCGCTGTGGACGGGTCTTATTCCAACGACCACGCGATGGCGGCACAACAATATAGCTTGCATTTGGTGGACAATCCGAAAGAAAAACGTCCATCGGCAAGTACATATGACCTAGTTGGACAAGCAAGTGGTGGCGACAGTTTTGATGCTATGCAACGAAGTATGTCATTAAACCCGTATCACGACAGCGACGTAGAAATTAGGAACGCAACGCAATTACAACAGTCCCTTATGAATGGCGGCGGAAAAGTGGAATGGTCTTCTCCAACTGGCGGAAGCCTGGCGCCTGCAGGAAAGGTGAAACGAAGGAGGAATGGCTCATTCAAAACGTCTGTAAGCACGGGTTGTATCGAAGACGCGCCAAACGCTTCGTTGAAAACATCGAACTTTTCGGCATCTCACTTGGGGGATTCTGCTGCTCTCAAGGACTCCCGTTTGTCTGGTTTCTTCGGTGGCGACGGGGTGGAGAATAATTCGCCGTCGACAGTGTCGACCGGTGATAGACGAGAGCAAACATCATTGTTCGGTACGGATGGTTGTAGTTGTGTGGAGTGTGGTACGCGAAACACCCCCCAGTGGAGGAAGGGCCCGTCCGGGCCTAGGACTCTATGTAACGCATGTGGTCTGAAACATCTTCATAGTCAACAAAGAGAGCGTATGAATGCGAGGCGTAGAGAACTTTACATGAAGAGCAAGAAGAAGAAAGAAGAAATGGCTCGCCAAGCTGCACTGGAGATGGCACAATACGGCGATACAGCAGGGCACAAACATGATCCCAATGATGTGTCCTCCGGGTCACAGGGTAATGTATAAGAGAGGTTTGTTGTTACCCAAAAAAGTAAAACAATAACAATACTATTAGTAAAGAAAAGGTGAACATCTTAAAAACCAGGCGCCGGAGAGTATGAAGAGCATCGAGTATAATCACAACTAGAATGGGTAAGAAAAAAAAGAAAAAGATAACGAACAAGCGAGAGAAACTAGAACTTTCAAATAAGAAAAGTACTTCTTCTTCTCCACAGCCGCTGGGGTTGAGAGAATTGAACAGAGTGCACAGGTAATCGTTATGCCGAATCAATAAAGTAAGAAGTAAAAGCTCTCACGGAGTAATGAATGTTTCTCGTCGTCAATGCATATAAATTATGAGAGACAATCAGTACAAGGTTTCTGTTGACACTTGTTTCTTCAGCATTTTATTTCGATTTTGTGTCGTAAAATCGTCCCCAGTGCACTGTGGCGATTAACTTTATAATACGCTTTGTGACTCAATCCTGCGCATGATTACTCATTTGTCCATCCGCACACTCTTTAAGTCACAGTCAATGCGGGAAAGACAACAGAGCTATTTTTTTCTCGATTGTGAACTTGACTACTTTTCCTTTCATATTATATGATTGGTGCTATTCGATGTGCAGTACTTCAATGTGGGCTTGAGGTCTTCCTTGGGTTTAAATAATCTGTTCTTTGCCGAATCTATATATATATTAATTGTCTGTCAGGTACAGATTTGGTTGTAGCTTCCTGCATATCCTATGTGGTAGTAGTAGGACATGTTGTGATATACACACCTCTCGTACATCCTAGGCTGACTACTTGTCTTCATGCTATCGTGATCATCATATATCTTTTCTGCCTCATGTAATTTGTACTCTGGTCTCTCTTATCTCAAAATACCAGTGTCAGTTGTGTATCTGTAGAGGCGCAGCGCTCAGACCTGCCTGTTGGTTAATACTATAGTGGTGTACAAAAATCTTACACTTGCCTATCGATAGAAACATAGTTCGCGTAGGCGTCCGTTTTCCAGGAATTCATAAGAAGCAACACCGTGCTATTATCGGATCTTGGGTAATTCAGAGATGCATTTCTAAGATCAATCCTCAGCGTGCCAATTCCAAATCCACGTACTTGGTAATTACTTTTTATGTTGCACTTGACTGACGCAAGTGTCCGATCCGCACCCAGCCGTCACAAAACAAAGTTTAGATAATCCAATATACTGTGGAATTGCAGCAATTGCTAGTAGCGCCAACTTCGCGACATAGCCAACCTTTAGACACTGTCGTAATAACCTCAAGTACAAGATAAGCAAAACGCGACTAGAATACAACTCTTTAATAATGTACTTGACTCGCCTTCTACTTCGAAGGTGGCAGCTGAAGCCTTAAATATGTTCTTTTAAAAAAAGCCTCACAACATGGGTATACTCGGATGATTGCAGCAGCTGAACCTCGATGCATGTCAAATTAAAACGTTCGACGTGGTTGATTCTCAAGCTCTTCACAACGGACATTAGAATTCACCCAACTGTCATATATACGCACAATTGTATTGTCATCCAATCCGATCCTACATTCTAATATTTACTTACACACTTACAAGAGGGCCAAATCATTTAATCGCAATCCAGCTCACTCTAGAACAATGTCTATAGTCGCTCAAAATGTAAACATGCCACTTTTGAAATTTTCAGATTCTTGTATAATTAGCGGATGCCGTTCCCCAACCAAACATACTTTCTCGAGCAGCCAAACATACACTGAATTTTAATTTAAACCGATCAAATACCAATATTTTACACTACAAGGAAATACAAATAAAGTACCACCTACCAGACTTTATAAACGAAACTCATATTGAATTCCAGAGGAATACATAGTGATATTACCTATATAATAGTGCGAAACATCCGCATTTGGTATTCTAGGCTAAAAATTATACACTCAGACATTACATGGACCATCAATAGAATAATTACGAAATCTCTCAGTACAAAAAAAGAACGAACTGTGCACTAGCAAGTATGAAACATGATGCACAATAGTACACAGTAGCAAGTGTAAAACATGATGCACAATATTGCCTAACAAATTCCAGGTCAAAACCGCAGCACTGACATGCAAGATACAAAAACCGCACATCATGCTCAACTGATTACGACTTTAACCGTACAAGACTGTACTTCACCAGTGAATTGCAAATACAAAGCTCGTCCCGCTTCAAAATAGCGAGTGAACAATGGTACATGACGCAAAACTAAAACCCCACAATGCAATGTGATGATGCACAACTAATTCATATATACACCAACATATTTAGGAGGGAGCATTCACGAAGCTACGCAAATAAATATCAAAAACAATTAGTAGACGGTACCTGAAATCGTTAAAATAGGTTGACCATGGAACTTAGCAATTTATTTATGTATCGTTGCAAATCAGAACCACTCGTTAATATGGTACAGCAGTACACTTATGAACGGGGCTTCTCCTTCTTCTCCTGTGATGACAAAAGACACAAAAACAAGACATGAATCAATCTATTGCTGTACTTTGTCTTCAAATTCAAAAATATATAAATATACGCTCAGCAATTGCAATATAACCTTGGCTTACAAGTATAACAAAACATAAGCGAGGGTTGAACACTCGTTTTGAATACACCGAGAAAAACAAGCCGAGCAATTAAACTTTAGGGTCAACTCTTAATACATAGCACAAATTACTAACCTTGTATAGGGCAAGAAGAGAGACACCGGCCACCTTAACGACCTTGAAACGCACACCGGGGATATCTCCTACGGCGTGGCCGGATCGACCGAAACCGGCTACAAGAACCTCATCGTTCTCATCGACGAAATTTAGGCAACCATCGTTGGGTACGAAAGCGGTGATACGCTTACCGTTCTTAATAAGCTGCACACGCACACACTTACGAATGGCGGAATTGGGCTGTTTGGCCTCAACACCAATCTTCTCGACAACAATTCCAGAAGCGTGGGAAGCTCCACCTTAACATAATGGTACAATTGGGAAAGGAGCGATCAGCACACGCATGCAAGCACTTTTACTCAAAAATTGACTTGAAACAAGAAACGAATTTGAATCGACACTTTGAAAATGGAAACGACGCTATATGCGCACGACAACATTAGTTTGAAAGCAATCTAAGGATTAAGATGTACAAGTTGCATACCGAAAGGATCGGCCTTCATCGCAGTAAGAAGGTTTTGCTTCTTGTAGCGCTTGTCAGCCCATTTCTGTACACGGCGATGCGATCGCATCTTGCGACCACATTGAATTCCACGAGGCTTACCTGCGCGTAACAGATACATAAAATTGGCATGTTAAGTTCCAGCCTTCGACCCATGATCATACACCAAACTACCATCGAACTGAAATGCCTTCTCGGAATTCGTCAGGAATAACAATGTTAATCGTTATATACACAGGCCAATGTTGCACACCCATCACTATTATTCAGTGATTGTTGTGTTGTAAATGTATTGCTGTTTAGGCATTTCGGCATGTGATATGTGCTCTGTCTTGTTGTTTCATGACGTCTATTTTGGAATGATTTTAATGTATCGCATATCTTCGGGATTCGTGAGTGTATAAGGCTGGCACTGTAATCACACTCATACTGCAAGCATATGCTGTGACTGCCACGTACCCATATTTTTGGATGTCTAGTTGCACTAAGGGGAAAAGAACGATGCGGTATATTTCTCGAAGTTTATATGTCCTCAAAATTGATCTCGTGGATATTCATACTATTTGCCCAATCCACACATGCTTTTAGTAAAGCCCCCCAGTACCTACCAGAATTGCCCAAAGTTTTAGCGGGAATCGCATCGTCGATTTGGGATTACATATTTACATAAATACATGTTGATAAATATAATACTTCACTTTCTTTGCAACACCCATTTTAATTTTGTTTTTTTGTTTTTGACAATTTACTAAACAAAACGAGCTCGTGTGGTTTTATTTTACTGGAAAATTACATAGCTTTCTAATAAAAAGTACAGGTTGTATATTTGTATAAAAAACCCCCAAGGGTTTATTATTTTATATATAGAAGAATTTCTATCTATTTGTAATATTGCTAAAACCTTGTTTGATAAATACTATGTATTTACAGTTTTTATTATGTAGAAGCAAAAAAAACCCCCCCCTAGAAATATTGCCCCCAGGGCCCAAGGACCCAGCCCTAGAGAGGCCAAAGGACGGCTCCGGTGATCAGGACGAGGACCCAGTGGCCAGCTGTATAAATATTCTCTAGTTTATTCAATTTTTTTTTTGTAAAATCAAATCTTTTTCTTTGTCCTATTCCAGTCCCCTTTTTATATACGCGAGACTGAGGTGTTGACCCCAGGCCCGGCCCTCTAGAGAGGGCCCACGAGGCAGAAGGACTCTAGGACGATTTTTAGAGTTAATTTATGTAAAAAATCCTATCAACCGATTTTTTTATTAGTTCAGACTCGAGCCTTGATTTTGAAGGCACACAAGCTAACCCAGTTTCCCGTTTTAACTTTTTCAAAATGAATCAATAAACGTTTCCGCTAAACTTTTATTCTGTGTATAGCCTTATGAAATTTGACGTGTTGCAATTCCAGGCCATCAATTTGTCTTAAACCCGGCGGGCCCGCCCGTCAGTCCAGATATTCATTGGTCTCTATTTGCCATATAGTCCATTTCGTTTGAATTTAGGTTTACATATTGAGTGCAAATTTAGGAATTTCGTTTTCTATTTTGACCTGTGAAATTGTTTTAACGTTTTAAAACCGAATCAGTATATGTTTCCGTTCAACTTTTATTCTATACCGTTAACGGCTTGAGCTTAGCACACAAGTAGCCTAATACAACCGGCGCAGACCCGATCCGTACCACAGAGGTGGGTACTCTACTTAGTAGGTCAGCAAGCGAATATATGGAACATTCGATAGTAACAGTGTTTTGTCAACACCGGCCCGAATTGACTCTGCACATATCATCCATTGTCGACTCACTTGGCCCAAGCTTCAAACGGGAATTTACTGACCACTTCTTCCCATCAATCTTTCCTGGACCACTACAGCGACTATGAGAGCCATACCATATGTTTGTACATTGTATCATACATACTTGTCATTTTTGAAATAAATAGTATTATCCCTATAGAAAATAACAAAGCCATACATCTTTTTGGGATGCCATAAAATGGGTCCAAACATTTGAGCGACAAAATTTGGCGCCCAAAGGTATATTCCACAATTTGAAAAATAATTATGGACAAATTTATGAACTTTTTAGTTATGTTATGCTTATATGTCTATATGTATGTGTGGTTGAATGCGTGTTAGTCGTTTATTATGGTTGCGTGTAACGTCATTGCATCCTGTCAGCAAAGAACAGGATCAGTCTTCAATGGACGCTCTGAGTTATTTTCCAGTGTTTCAAAGCATAGACAGCCACCACAAGCTAGATCCAGTACACGCAGAGCCACGACCAACAAGAAATTGCGCACAAATGAATGCATACCGACTTTGTGCCTCCTCTCGCGCGACATTACTTTGCTACGTTGAGGCTGTAGAGGAAGCCGTTTCCGAGTTTGGTTCTGAGGAAAACTCAGAGGATGACTCGTCGGGGCCTAAAACCTTGGAAGTGGAGGTCGCAACTGCCGCGGAAAGTCTCGCCAGCGTCCGTGTGTCTCCTAGTAGTGCAGCCCGGGCCTCAGCTCACCATCTGACCGCAAAAAGTCAGATTTTGGAAAGGCTATATCTCCTGAACAAGTGGAGGAATCGTCTCGAGACCGACGGTTTACTATTACTAAAATTCAACCCAATCCACTTATTATCAAAGATGGCAGCGTTCCATTTTGTGAAATTTCATTGAATGCCTCATCACTAATGCCTCGCCACTGAATGTTGGGGCGGAAGACGCAAATATTGGGGACGCCATAACTCAACAACGAGTGGTTGGATCTTCTCAATCTCGACGCCATTTGAACCGTAAAGGTGAGTTTTTAAAGGAGCTAGCCGCTGCCACAGCTTCTAACCCTTTGATCATATACCACGTGGCCGATATTCTTTCTATACCGAAGAAAAACTTTTCCGAGCCGGGGTTCAAACCTGGCACCCACTGGTTTACCAGCCAGCAGGGTTACCACTGAGTCAGTTACCGCTGGTGAAGTGGGTAAAACTTCAAGATTTAATCTCTATAGCTCGGAAGCTACAATCGACCATCCTCTCGACAAACCTAACCCTGTCAGAGACTATGATCATATGGAAATCGATGAGGCTTACCACCCTAATAACATCGATCTTCATTTACCCTCTATCCCTGGTAATCACGACTTTGGTAATCGTTATACTAGTACCTCACTAGAGAGTACCCACTCTAGCTCTGAAGACGAGACAGTGAGAACCAGACAATATCGTTTTAGGCTATTACATTCTGGTATGCAAGTCCTTGAGGACCGTCTACTGAATGACTATGACCTTGACGATACGAAAGCGGATACCATTCGCTATCTAATCGATAAAAAGGGAAAGGAGATAGACTTCATCTTGGCACTAGAATCCCGTAGCACTGAGCGTGAGCCTCGTGAACGTTTCGAACCAAGCTTTATAAAGTAGCTAGGTAAAGCGAAGGCTGAGGTCGATTTCTTTACTAATGAGAGTACAGTGGAGACACTGAAGGCCTTTGACCAACTTAAGGAGTCTGTCAGCCTTAAAGATAAGCAGATGATGAATGCCTTTATTCATTTATGTGATTCAGAGGAATGGAAAACTATCTTGAAGGCCCATGAGCCCAACTGAAAAGCCCTACCCTGGCGCCAGATGCGGGAGAATATACTTAACACCTTCTTTGAAGATGCACGTGACCGTGAACTTCTAGAGTTTTGCAAGTCCTTTGCGAACGATACTGCTATTCGAGGTGCTCTAGCTCATATGACACATATGAACACTCGGATGGGAGGTCGTACCTATACTGGCGAGCATCTATTAATTTGTCAGATGATGGAGACTCTTGGGGCTAACCTTTTTAAAGAGGTCAATGATAATATTATCGCCTATGGTGATTTGCGATCTATGACTTGGTATGTCTTTCAGAAGATAGTTCAAAAGCATACCAACCCATCTACTAGAGTACTTAGTACCCCTAGCTTTACCCAGGCCCCTAAGCGCATCGCGTTCTACTGCTGGAGGTGGTAAAGGCTCTACTTCTACTGAACCAAAGAGTGAAAGGAAGGAGAGAGCACCTTGCAAGAAGTGTGGTTACAACATCACTAAACGTGATGGCAAGTGGAATGGTAAACATGACTCTGTTAAGTGTGCACCAGGCAAGCCAAACTTTGGACACTTAATGAAAGAGTGTACTACTTGCAAGGGTACTAGCGGTTGGCACAAAGACGATTGCAAGGACATGCCGGACGTCCAAGGTAAGTACTGACAGTTCCATATGTGTGCACTAGAGCAAGATTATGAGAAAAAGTTTAATAAAATCTTTACCAAAGGAGATGAACGTATATTTCAAACCGTTTATGTTAATGGAGAAAAGGTTATAGTACTTTTTGATACAGGAGCTGAAGTCTCTGCTATCTCACGCCGAGTAGCCTACGCTATAGATATTGCTATCCATAACGAAACAACTAATTTAATCTTGGGAAATGGCAAAGTTACCGCTTGCAAAGAAGCCATTGACTATGCACACATAATGTTGTCAGATAGAAGAGAAGTAAAGACTCACCTAATCGTTACTGACATGTCTCAGAAATACGATTTAATTATAGGTATGACTGATCTTCTCAGTTTAGGTATAACTCTCACTGGTCTGCCTAATGGACTAGACCCAAATGAATATCAGTCAGATGATAACATGTTAAAGATACCTAAACCTCCGGAAGGCGAAGCAAAGGATATGATTCCGCACTTTACCGATATAATCATGGACTTAATTATACAAAACAGAAAGATTGCAATAACCGACTGGTGTATGTTTAAGTTCTCTAACGGGTACGTTAAGCTTGACTTAACAAACGTCGACTTCTCCAAGTTAAAGTGTCCTTCACATAGCTACGTGAGTTGGAGACACAAAGACGTTGTCAACCCCCAAATTGAAGATTGGTTAAAATAGGGTCTAATTGAAACCAATTATGATGCAACCCCAGTCAACTTAGCTCTCTTAGCGGTCGATCAATATAAATCTGATGGAACGTTTAGTAAAACAAGAGTAGTAGTACTAGACCTGTCGCCAATCAACAAACTAATTCCGCAACATAGTTTTCCCTTACCAAAGATAAGCGAGATACTACGCAAAATGGAAGGTGCGACTAACTTTTCCAAGGTAGACTTAAAAGGTGCATTCCATCAATTACAAATATATGAGCCGCATAGGAAATACTTTTCATTTACTTGGCAAGGTAAGAAGTACCAGTTTAAAGATGCACCTGAAGGCTTACACATGTTGCCTTCTTTCTTCCAACAAGTTAAGATGGAACTATTTGCGGACTTGTCGGATAACGTATCAGTATATTTAGATGATATAGTTATCTTTACAAAGACAGCACATGAACATTCTAAACTCGTTAAGGAAGTCTTAAAGCGACTAAACCATGCCAAACTTGAGATTAACGAGGACAAGTGCTCTTTTGCTAAAGATACTATACACTTACTTGGTTACAAGGTATCTGCATCAGGGGTAGAAATTAATCCTGGCAAGTAACAATTTCTGTTGGATTTATCAACACCGTTTACTGGAAGAGATGTGAACTCTG